TTCCGGGGGGGGGCCGGTAGCGGAAATCGGCGTCCAAAGCGCGGAAACCCGCGGCAAGAACGCGGAAACCCGCGGAATGGCAGTTTTCGGAAATTTGAAGTTTCAGTTTTTGAGGGTGGGGTTATAGTTGAAATGTCTTTTCTCATGCCACCTTGGCACAAATCTGCTGAGGATGCGAGCTGCTTTACAGGGGTGTGGCTATATCTTGTAGTTTTTTTTATGGCTTTACAGGCTCAACCTGGGACTGTCAGGATTCGACTTAGAGGCCAGGATCGATCGATGTCTGCCGAGACTTTGGCTACTGGGGCTGGCTCCTCGAGCACGCTTCAAGCAGGCTGTGACCTTGTATCCCAGCCACTACCAGAGATCATCCAGCTCAAGCAAGAACCGGAAGATGAAGAAGAACTTGATATCCGAAGGCAAATGCAGGTGAGTGTGGGATTGGGCAACCCCTAAAAAAACGAAACCCCTAAACCTTACACGTCCTATAAGCCCTATCCTGTAACCGAAAAGACCTACCTTTTTAGGGTTCCTTGTCAGAGTTTCTATATATGGTTCCTGAAAAAGGTAGGTCTTTTCGGTTACAGGTAAACCCTAAAACCCCTAAACCTTACCAGTCCTATAAGCCCTATATCCTGTAACCGAAAAGACCTTCCTTTTTAGGGTTCCTTGTCAGAGTTTCTATATACGGTTCCTTAAAAAGGTAGGTCTTTTCGGTTACAGGTAAACCCTAAGCCCTTGAACTCCATAAACCCAAAACCCCAAAGCAAAGACATAGTATAGCAATCCACATATAAGGCTTGCAATCTAATATGCCAGTTTCAGGAGCTCTTCGCAGAGATGAATAAGAACGGGGGGCCCATCGACCTGGAAGACTCTGATGATAATCAGAGCGATGACCAGGAGCCGATTGGAGACACACTCGTTGAGGCTGGAGTCCACGCCTAATGCTACGGGTTTAGGGTTGCAGGGTTTACATGGGGTTCAGGGCTTTAGGTTTATAAGGGCTTATCTGGATTATTGTCATTCCAATCATATGTAGTGCTGCTTACATATAGGGTTATTTTGGCGGGTGTATATAGACTTGAGGGCTTAAAAGCTTCAGGCATTTATAGGTTGGATTGATTTATGCCACTCGTGCAGTAGTCTTGTTTTGCTCATGTAGTATAAATGTTTCGATGGCCAGAACCGTGGGAGGAAATATATAATAACAACTCTGAACCTATAAATGTCCCTGTTTACACAAACTCTTTGCCCAAGCCCACTATACTAATAAATCCGTATCGTGTGTCCAGTTCGGATACTCTGTGATGATTCGTTTTCAATTTGGGCTTGGGGGGTTGGCTAAAGTTTGAGCTTCCGCAGGTACTTTGTGCACCCCCTACACCCTTTGTAGCCCGATCCCAACTAAGTTCTCTGAAAGACATTCGGAGGATTCTGTTATTGGCAACGGCTTCGTGGCGAGCTCACAGGATGCCCAAGACCCGAACCTACCGCCAGAGTCTCCACCTCAAGAAGACACAGCAGAAGCCACAACGACACCCCCAGCAGCAGCAACTTTGCCAAAGCAAGCCCCAACGCTGCAGGTACCCAAGGCCGACGGACGCCCGCAAGAGACACAGCCTACGTCTCCAGCCAAAGCACCACAGCAGGTCCCGGCAGAAGCCCCAACACCACAGGTACCCAAGGCAGGTGAACTGACAGCCAAAGCACCAGCTACCCCTTCGATGTTCGATTTTGGGACTGTGGAGGAGTCACCACAGCAGGTCCCGACACCCGCAACTTTGCCAAAGCAGGCCCCTACACCGCAGGTACCCAAGGCAGCGCTGACACCGGCTTCGCCACCAGCCAAAGCAACGCAACAGGTCAAGGCAGCCGCAACTTTGCCAAAGCAGGCCCCAACACCGGAGGTACCCAAGACAGCTGGACACCCAGAAGTAACACAGGCTCCGCCACCAGCCCAAGCAACGCAGGAGGGCCCACCAGCCCGAACTGCGCCAAAGCAGGCCCCAACACCGCAGGTACCCAAGGCAGCGCTGACACTGGCTCCGCCACCAGCCAAAGCAACGCAACAGGTCAAGCCAGCCGCAACTTTGCCAAAGCAGGCCCCAGCACCGGAGGTACCCAAGGCAGCTGGACACCCAGAAGCACAGGCTCCGCCACCAGCCGAAGCAACGCAGCAGGCCCCACCAGCCCCAAGCGCGCCAAAGCAAGCCCCTGCAGGTGGACACCCAGTGACACAGGCTTTGTCTCCAGCCAAAGCAACGCAGCAGGCCCCAGGCACACAAGGCGGACACCCACAAGCTTCGTCTCCAGCCAAAGCAGCGCAGCAGGTCGCAGCAGCCGCAGTTTTGTCAAAGCAAGCCCCAACGCCGCAGGTACCCAAGGCAAACGGACACCCGCAGGTTTCGTCTCCAGCAAAAGCAGCGCAACAGGTCCCAGCCGCAACCGTGCCAAACCAAGCCCCCAAGGCAGGCACACGCCCACAGGCTTCGTCTTTAGAGCAGGTCCCGGCAGCCGCAACTTCGGCAAAGCAAGCCCCAACGCTGCAGGTACCAGGTGGACACCCGCAACTGACGCCTTTGTCTCCAGCCAAAGCAACACAGCAGGTCCCACCAGCCCCAAAGCAAGCCCCAACACCACAGGTGGCAGCAGGTGTCTCACAGGCACAGCCTTTGTCTACACAGATGGTCCCAGTCGCAGATGCACCCTCAGACGCGGCAATAGACAGGAGGATGCGACGTCTGATGAAGCCTTCTCCAGACGGCAATTATAAAATCGCAGAGCACGTTCGTGCTTTGTGGGAGAACAAGGCAACGAGAGATCAGGCAATCCGCCTTTTCGCTGATTGCAACTATGCCCCGGACAGGTTTCAAGAAAACAGGCTTTTATAATTCTATGGGTATATATATATAT